CACTTAACTGGAGTACCCACATAGGAAACATGGCTGCTAAAGGAGCACGTGCCGTAGGGATGCTGCGCAGGCTCAGTAATTATCGTGCCGGTTTGCGTAGAGACGTGCTCGTTATGATATATTGCATGTACTTTCGACCGATATGAGAATTCGGCTGCGTTTTGTTTTCTGGCGCTCCGGCCTACAAAGTTCGACCGCTGATTCTGCTAGAACGCGATTCATTACGCTTATGCCTAGGGCTACCCAAATATGTTGCCAACAATATCCTATACGAAGAATCCCGCCTGCCTTCTCTTATCAAAAGATTTCATATTCTAACAGTACGAACATTCCTTAAAATCTATGCATCAGCTCAGAGGAGGCCACAGTATGTGTTCATTGACCAGCAGACCTTATTTTTCTACCACCAATGGTCTAAATTACAGTGCCCTCAAGTAATATTTACACAGAAATGTTTGAACCCCTTAAGAGTTGACCTTTGGCAAATACTTGTACTCAACACTGCAGATGCAACTAGGATTGTATTTGATAATATATATCCCAAGAATGCAAAAATTACCATATCAGTATATAAATGGCATTTTGGAAGATCACTTGGCCAATCCAGAAACATCCATTGTGATAGCGACTATGAAGAGAAGGCTGGCGCAGTAATCGTATCATCCTCTCTTGATTGGGCTTTCTCAATTCGATTACCCGACTTTACCCTATATATTTACCAAGCTGAGCTATTGGCAATAGTCCTAGTATTGCGTAAAGTGCCCCAAAATCTATCAGCTGTGATTGTTCTAACAGACTGCCCCTCGGTCTTTACTGCCTTAAGCTCACCAACTTTTTCACGTACCTTAGAAACTTTCTACTCGCTCATTCCTAGACATGTGCGACTCGTTCGACTAGTTTGGGTACCAGGCCATAGAGGTTTAGCTCTCAATGAGCATGCAGATGCACTAGCTGCATCTTCCCTTGATTGTCCTGTTTTACCTATTTTGCCTACTTCGGATTATATCACAGCAGCACGCTTTGAAAAACGCACAATGGACAATAAATTCAAAAAATCTGCTTTGTTTTTATCAGACTATCCACAGCTAAAGTTCCCTTGAAAGAACAAATGGTGTTCATCAAGAAAGAAAGAACTAGTAACTACAAGGCTGCGCTGTCGAGTCCCTTCATTGAACTTTTACCTTCACAGGTCGGGTCTGGCACAGTTGCCTTTGTCCTTTATTGTAATGAGAGTGAATCATTGGAGCACTTCTTTTTGTCATGCCGAAAATTCAAAGGTAAAAAAATATACTACTAGAAGAACCCCTACGAAAGTTGGACTTGACACTTCCGGTGATTCTTTCATTTGGCGCAGTCGCATTCGGTTTCAGCCAGAGGAGCGTTTTTACCACTGTGACAAATTTTCTACGAGAATCTTAAAGAATGGAATGCTAAACATAGATAAATTCAGTTGTTTTTGTATAGTTTTTTTTCTTTTTTGTGTGTGATTATTATGTTTTCCTTTTCTAAGTTTTTTGTTTGCTTAGAAAACTAACACCTTTAAATTATTACCTATATTACCTAATTAATCCAACCCTCCCTTGCATGAAGTGAATTAATTTATAAAGCAAGGCACCGTCCCATTCATGGCCTATCCCCCTAGGTGGGTGGCGCCAAGGTGTTGAGGTACCAACGAACCAACCATGCGCGCTGTCCTCCATCTTCATCAATGCATCAGTGTAAATACACTGGTAAATAATTACGCCTCGTCTCACTTTACGTAACAATGCACACAGAAGTGAGCGCTAACTATAGTGTTTCCTTTTATCTCACGCGAGCGTTACTAAGAAAAGAACAGTGCAAGACAGAAGACGCTAGACACAATGGAAGAATGGCTGTCTGGCAGGTACGCGCTGCTCTTACGAGGCCTAAATGTCGCGTCAAACGAAAAAAAACAACAGAAAAAAACGTACGATAGCATATGCCATGACAAAGGAACGTACTAACGAGAGAGGTAAAGAAGTGTCTTTTCGAAGAAAAAAGGAGATAGAAAAATTAAGTATTGTTCTCGGAAGCACGGGCCTGATTGATGGTCGTCCATGGCGAATATATATTATAGTGTGGCCTTGTGTCAGAAAGCAATAGCCTCTATACTCATGAGACAACACAGAACTCGCTTGTGACACCTATGCTATGCTGACAGAATGAGTGGTTCCGTTAAAGTGACATGTTTTGGTCCTGCCCATAGCAGCCACAAGAAATGGTCGTATTCCACACTCAGGCATCCCGGGGATTCATCTTTCTTCGGGGACGCCTGTGTGAGTCCATCGATTACCTGTGCAGGATCTTGGCTGTACTTGCAGAAGTGGGTTCACGAGTTCCTACAAGCGTGAAGCGTTGGTTGGCTACAGCAGCGGAGTGGGCCTGGGATGATGACCAAAACGAAAAAGAAACAAACGATACATTCGCTGACTTCGACATGCGTGACAACAACAGCAGGAAGCCCTTCGACAAAGTGCTCAGACCGGAAACGAAAGCAAAAGCTTGAAGTTCAATGATGTGAGCAAGCGACGCGTGCTATGTTTCTATATATACCTTGTCGGTGACACTCTTGCTAGGCTAAAGAGAGGTAGCGGAATGTGTTTGTGCAAGTGGATTCTCAAAGCGCCCGGGCTATCTTTTCTTTCTTTCTCTCTCTTTTTTTTTTTGCTGAGGGTACGCCAATTCTTTTTCGAAAAGACTTTCAACAACATTGCGCCAGTATGTGTGCTCGTTTGACTAGCTCACCACGAATAGAAGGCGACGGTGCGTGCATACAAAGTAACGCTGATAGATAGATAGATAGATAGATAGATAGATAGATAGATAGATAGATAGATAGATAGATAGATAGATAGATAGATAGATAGATAGATAGATAGATAGATAGATAGATAGATAGATAGATAGATAGATAGATAGATAGATAGATAGATAGATAGATAGATAGATAGATAGATAGATAGATAGATAGATAGATAGATAGATATTCAAGAGAGGTGTTCTACAAAGCTGTGGTAATGCCCATATCGCTTTGGTGTATTTGTGAGGCCTGGGGCTGAGCTCAGGCGCATTTATCACCAAGGCTGATCACGGATTTCGGTTACTGTGATACTGAGTAGAAAGCGCTTGTACTAACCACTAACAGTGTTCCAAAACTATTTTCTTACTGATTGAATTTGTATTTTGTTGCCACAAAGATCAGGCCCTTGTTTTTCTCATTTTTAGATGCGGAAGCATCTTATACTCGCGCCTTGTAGTGCGCCGTCCGCGCTGTCCGCACCGCTTCTCGAACATTCGACAGCTGACGCGCGCGCATGCGCCGTCGCGCCGTCGCCCACTCTTCCACCATCTGTGCATCCCTTCCTCCTCTACACACCGCTCGCGCTTCACTCCTCCACCGTCTGTGCACCCTTCCTCCTCTACACACCGCGTTCGACATCTACAATTCTCCTGATTCTCCAGTGGACGCGCATGTGGCGTCGCGCTTCGAGAACATTCAACAGCTGACAGTGCATGCGCCGTCGCACTGTATATATACTCAAGGTCGGCGCTCGCTCGCTCAGTTGCCGCTCGTCGGTTGGTTTGTACGGCGCGTCGACGTCCAAGGTCGCGGTGAAATGAATTCCAACGAATCCACAAACACAATGATCGACGTCCCTTCGACCAGCGCCGCCCTTTCGCATACGTGTGTACGTGTTCACTCATTTAACACCCCCTCCTACAACCACGTTAACCAATTTAGCCATCGACCCAAGTAAGTCGCAATTAGCACCCCATTTCACAACCACGTTAACCAATTTAGCCATCGACCCAAGTAAGTCGCACTTTAACACCCCGTTAACCAATTATATGCTCCGCATCCTCCTCAGTGTTCCCCCGAGGGAAGCTGCGGGCATTTTTTTTTAATTTGCACACTGCGTTTCCTCTTCATGATTACGCTCGCTCCTGTTTTTTTTTTCTGATTATGCCGGCAAGATGAAAAGCTCATTTCAACAGTGACTGTGGTGCGAAGGGGATTCACAAGTAGAGAAAAATAGAAACAAACGAATGATTTAACGAACGCAACGTTCACGGACGCCACAAGCGTGCAACTCTGCCTGTATTTACGTGCGACAAGGCCCTTGCATTGACCCGAGCATTTCTGTAGCTTCAACTCGCAAGCGTTGCTCACGTAAAAATATTGCTAGTAATAAACATCTTCCGGGGGCAACGAAAGAGGAGAATTTTAAACCAAGGGTTCGTTCCATTGTTAGACACAACGAAATGACTGTATAGACTGCTAGCTCAAATGAGTAGATTAATTGTTGTACTTATTAACTCTAGGAAAGTAACTAACACAGGCGGAAATGTTGTGGGCCCATGTACTCAGATATGGGTGCACGTTAAAGAACCCCAGGTGGTCTAAATTTCCGGAGCCCTCCACTACGGCGTCTCTCATAATCAAATAGTGGTTTTGGGACGTTAAACCCTACAAACAAATGATCAAGTAATTAACACATGCATTTTTAATGAATTACAGTGGACGCAACATCAACGTTTATTCCCATCGACAATAAGGTTTAATTTACGTCCTGATTACTACACTACAGTTAAATATACAACAATTAAGGTCCATGTGTCTTTCTTGATCTATATGTCTGTTGGTTGTAGCTTCCGGAGTGTTGCCGAGCCACTCCCGAGCCGCATGCACCTGAACGTCCCTATATCATTCACGCTGTAGTGCAGTACTTTCAGGTGTGCATCATCGTTCTTCACTGCCACCAACAGCTGCCACAAATTCACTCCTGTCGATCCTGCACTAGTGCACTCATTGACGCCGCTGAGCCCTGTGCCACTTGAAAGCAGTTATCAGAGGCGACCGCGCGTATCAAGAGCAAGCGGCGATTTCTTGGTTGAACTCTCTCTCTCTTTACCGCTCTCGTTCTCTTTTCACCTTCTTTCCCCTCCATCCGAGGCAGGGCCAAGGCAGCCAAGGTCAACAAACCACTCGGCACGCGTTTCCGCGCTCGCTCATCGCCGTCTGTGCCCCAGCTGCACGACGGTTCGTGGCGCTTGTATCGCTCCGTTAGCCGTCGATGTTAAGGCGCAAACCCGCAGTAACAACTTCACGCTAAGTGGTGAAGAACACACTTGGCCTCCACCACAGAGAGCCGACCGAGGATTACCTCTTGGCACCCGAAGCCGTCTGAGGGCGTCGGCGGCAAGGATGGTGCAACCCGGGCGAAGCACGTCTCCGCGCCTATCGCGTAAGTTTGAAGAAGCCAGTTTTTTTTTTTTTTTCGTTTTTTTTACCGTGTTCATATTATTTACTACAGTAGGCTCTTGAGGCTACCATGTCTCCGAGAAGCGCGCTTGTATAAAGGGACGAAAAAAAAAAAGTTGACCGTTTTTTGCTGTGGGTGCAGGATTTTATGTAAATATTTTCCTCCGTGTAGTGTGTCGCGTGGTTGTAAATTTATGTAACAGAGTCGACCCGACCAACTCTAAGGTAAACGCTTTAATAATATTGAAGCCTGTCAAACGACAACGTTTATTGTACTTCACAGGGAACGTCCTTTAGAAAACGTCTAATCATGGTGTCGTTAAGGGTAACAATTTTCCGAAATATGCATGAAACAGCCTTTATGACGTTTTACTAATGTACACTACTGCGTGGGCGCTTTTTGCAGGCTCAAAATTAAATCAGCTTGCTTAGGCCACAGTTACTTCAATATAATTGATAATAACAATTGCTGGGGTTTAACGTCCCAAAACAGCGACATTACTTTGACAGACACTGTAGTGGAGTGCTCTGGGAATCTTGACCACCTGAGGTTCTTGAGTGAAGATAAATAAAAGAGGCCTTTAATCTGTAGTGAACACAAGGTACGCTGGTGTGTGTGTGTGTGTGTGTGTGTGTGTGTGTGTGTGTGTGTGTGTGTGTGTGTGTGTGTGTGTGTGTGTGTGTGTGTGTGTGTGTGTGTGTGTGTGTGTGTGTGTGTGTGTGTGTGTGTGTGTGTGTGTGTGTGTGTGTGTGTGTGTGTGTGTGTGTGTGTGTGTGTGTGTGTGTGTGTGTGTGTGTGTGTGTGTGTGTGTGCGAGAGAGAGAGAGAGAGAGAGATGATAATGGATTATCTAAGACACTTGCAGCGCCCACTTTACTTGCTATACAGCGAAATGCTTATATTAGTTAGACTGAAGGCTTTGCTTCACCTCACTTTTCCTTTCATTTCTAGAAGTTGTTATCGCGTGTGAGCTGCAAACATGTACGTTGCGAACGTTTTCAATCAGTCGTTCAGTCAGTCACACATTCATATTTTCAAGTAATCGTTACATCAAGCGAACGCCTAATCAAGTGATAATTTCATGAAGTAATTGTTCAATAATTTGGTGAGGTGCGGGCGTAATCATTCAGTCAGTCACTACACAAAAATAGCAGTGATAAAGGGAGCAGGAAGAGGACATACGTTTTACAATTTAAGATACATACACCAACAAGTGGTTCTCTTTGCAACTTTTAAAAGAAGGTTTGTTGCTTGTTTCATTTAATTGGTTTTGCAATTTCAATGGCTGTGACGGCCTACTTCTGGGCGTGTTTTCAGAGATATGATTCCCAGTTGTGGTGCCCAGTTTTTGCAACACAAAAATGGTTTTGTTTTGTGCTGTAGGTGCAGGATAGAGAGATCAGCCTAGTCAAAATTTTTCGCTTTCAATTATCATTGCGTCTCGCATAACACTTTTTACAGTTTTTGGAACACAGTGGAACCCCTCATTAACGAAATTGCCGGGCAAGTGATTTTTACTCGTTTTCATGTGAATTTCGTTGTCGCAAAAATGAAAAATACGCAGACAAATTGCTTCGCCCAGCAAAAATTTATGCAAAGAAGTCATTAATCTCCTCCGCAGTGTCAAACTCCTCCGCAGTATCCATCCTTTTCTGCCTTTGGCAGCTTCGGTGACAATCCTGGACTTCTCCTGAAACGTCAGAAAATTACCGGTTTTTCCGGAGGCGACATCTTTCGAAAGGCAGAACAAACACTGCCTGTAAGCAAAGCGCGGGAAATTTCGTCGTGCACGTCGTGCACGGAGATACGCGTGGCAGCGAGCAGCTAGGTAATCTAACATCTGTCTGTGTGACGTCATGTGCTGATGTGATTGTTGCCAAGAGAGGCGTTAGCAAAAACAAAAGTGTTCTCAGCGAAAAAAAATCAACAAAGTCTTATTGCTATCATCATTGTTCGACCGAATATAAACAGCAATGACCACACCCATGCTTGTTGATGGAAACGTATGTGCCCGACTTGTGCCGTGATCAGTGCTGCTATTTTCGAACTTCTTATCTTATAAGTAGCTCACGGGTTCAAAATAATATTTCGAATCACTACCTGTAATATTCGTTATTGCGAAAAGACCTTTTCAAATGTCTTCGCTGTGCTCTGAACTCAGTGTGCGTTCGCTGGAGACGCCAGATGTCTTCGTTGCCGCGAGACTTTCGTTCTTGATGTCCACGTTATTGAAGGATTCAACGTAATCTTTCGGCTGGTAAGCTGTAACTTTCTTTTTTCTCACGCAGGTCTGCAGCCGACGGAGAAGTCGTCGCTCAACTTCTTCCAGCACTGGTTGCTTCCCCTGTTCCTGTTCCTCTTCGTGCCGCATGTGGTCGTGTGTGTCATATTTTTCGTGGTCACCTATGGGTCATCTCTGGAAGAAGCGTTTGAACGGGGTTTTCAGCCCTTCTGGTACGACGCCTGGACACTGCACGGATTGGGAACACCTCAGACGTGGGTGTTCCTCGCCTTGTTCATCGCGTACAGCGGCCTCTCTTTACTCGTACTTCCTGGCAAAATATACTACGGTCCACCCACGTCAACGGGTCACCGACCCGTATACCGAATGTCCGGTTTTACGTACTACGTCATCAGCATGGCGCTAGCCGTGTTCATTCTCCTCGTACAAGACGCGCGCGGCTGGTCCATTTACCGGACCCTGCCAGGAGTGGCCGTTGCCCTTACGATAATCGGCTACGTCGTTACGTTGCTAATATATATCAAGGGCAAACTGTGGCCTTCGCCAGGGGATCATGGTACGACCGGAAGCTTTGTGTTTGACATCTACTGGGGGCTGGAGCTGTACCCGCGCATAGGACAGCGCTTGGACGTCAAGCAGTGGACCAACTGCCGCTTCGGAATGATGCTGTGGCAGCTTCTGGTGCTGGTCTGCTGGAAGGCTCAGGTCGAGACGACCGGCTGGAATTGGGCCATGGCAACGACGGCTTTGTTGCAGACGGTGTACATCGCGAAGTTTTATTGGTGGGAAGACGGATACATGCAGACAATCGACATCATCGTTGACAGAGCGGGTATGTATTTGACGTTTAAGACCCTCCGGTGACTCTTTCCTTCGCCAGGTCAGCTTGACTATGAATACAGTTAACAGTATCGACACAGTATCGTTGAGTACAACTTATTTTTTCACAGTAAGGTTGCATGTCTTGCAGGTCTAGCCTGCGCCGTCATTGTCATCATCGTAAAAGTGGTGGAACAGGTAGTAGTAGTAGAAGTAGTATTAGTTGGATGTGGAGGAGTAGGAGTAACAGCAGCATCAGCAGTAGGAATCACGAAGGTTGCGTAGCAAGAGAGGAGAGTGAATAAAAAAAATTAATAAAAGAAAGTAACTATAATGATAATGCTTAATTACATACACGCGCGTGCTGATAGGCTTGGTGCCGAGAGTCTACACGACGTTCGCGAATGGAATGCCTAGATAACTGAAGTTGTGATTACTGCGTAGACTCGTTGCGAGTACGAAGCCTACATGGACGCGTTCGCACGTCTGTACGGATACGCGTCGGCTAGTCGTGAGCTGTGGCCTCGCTTGCGTGAGCTCGCGTCAACGTTGTAATGATTAAAAATTAACGGAGTATAATAACCCCCCGATACAGACTACTTGAAAGTACCACACTGTTTTCTAATACACCTACGATTCCACTTATGGATTCGGAAACGCCTTGTCACTGTTGTTTGTATGCTATAAACAAGAGACCGCGGACGTGCATGTGGACACACATCGATAAATCTTGTGAAGCGGCTGGTAGTTGTTAATGAGCACGATATGCAGCAAAGGTTGTCTATTACTTCAGGTAACAAGAACGAGGCTTGCAGTACCTCGCAAGAGTTGGTGTGGCGGCTGTGACATTGAATACATGACATGTTACTGTTGACCGTTCATATCTTGAGTAGATGCACCTATGCATGGCAGCCTTTGTGGACAGAATGAGCACTTTGCGGAGCCAGAGGGGCGGCGGTTCGGGCCATAAATGACGGCGCACAAAAAAAAACTATGCCAAATTTAGAGGAAGCTGGCAACAGCTTGCCACATTGCCCACTTGTTCTGGCCGAGTTTCTTGAAGGCGCATATTTTCCGAGTTTCTTGAAGGCACATAATCCACAGCGTGCGCGTTAACTGATGAAAGCGGACTGTGGGTCTCTTTGTCCAATCGATGTCATCTGTCTGTCGTTGCCCATTAGCAGCGATTGACATGTCCCAGTAGGAAACACCGGTCGCCCACTGGCGTGCTTTGCGCCTTCCCAGGTTTCCCTCATGCGCAACACCGCGATAAGCGCCAGCGTCAACACTGCCATCAGTGTGAGCGTTAGCGCCCACGCTTCGCGTCTACACATAGTTCCCTTTAGGGGAAGATGGTGTAATTTTTCTCTGTCTACCGTGTTCAGGTGTTTCGTAGAGCGCACCCTGGAAAACGGAACATATACCATTTCAAAGCACAGATCTAATGCAACAGCGATGTTATGAATGACGTTGACAACCTCTATGTACCCGGTGCTGCAGATGCATTTCAGGTCGTCTATAACACAGAAAATTCCATGGCGCACGCGCGGATGCATGTAAACACACGCAAAGGAGAGCAAGCATGCTTAATATACTTCCTGGCTTTCTGCAGGTTACTACATCTGCTGGGGATGCATCTGCTTCTTGAGCCTCATGTACCCCCTCACCAGCATCTACATGGTCGAACACAGTCCCGAGACTGGTTTTCTACGGGCCGGGCTCATATTTGTGGTGGGCCTCGTCATGATAGGACTTAATTATTGGACCGACTACCAGAGGCAGTTGGTTAGAGCAACGCAGGGAAAGTGCGTCATCTGGGGATCTTCACCGAAGGTGATCAAGGCCTCGTACCGAGACGCGACGGGAAAACAAAGAACCAACCTGCTTCTGGCTTCGGGGTTCTGGTCACTCAGCCGTCACGTGAACTACGTCTTCGAGATTCTCGCTGCGCTGTGCTGGGCGCTGCCCTCCGGATGCTCCAGCGTCGTCCCGTACTGTTACGTCCTCTACCTCTGCGGGTTGCTCGTGCACAGAAGTTATAGGGATGAGGAAAAGTGCTCGACGAAGTACGGCCACTACTGGAAGCAGTACTGCGACCTTGTGAGGAGCCAATTAGTACCTTATTTATTTTAGAACGCGCTATAGGATGAAATAAATCGCGGTTTTTGTTTCTTCGTTTGTGCGACACGTTAACGCTGATGCAAGTTTCGAATCAAAGTACTTGGGATGAAGTGCGGCGACGATGTGCGAACTATTGCCTTTGCACGGACACTTCCTCAACTACCAGTGTTTCCCGAACGGCTTGTTCGGAATAAATCGTAAGATTATCTGTGGTGGCGTAGTTTTTCATTAATTGTTTGTCGGCACAAATTTTTAAAAAATTACTCTTTCTGAAAATGTAACCTAAACTTGGGCCCGCCTAGCTTCAAGGTAGCACGACCTCTCATCAAAGCGACATTAAATAGAAATGTTGGATCCCGCCAAATTGGGAGCTGAATTTCTCCGAAACGTGTGTACTCGTGAGCTTTCGAATCATGGGACGTTCGTGAGCTAACAGGCTACGGAAATTTTCGTTATTTTACACCCGGCAATACTTGGCCCATATTCACAAAAAAAACATTCACAGTAGAACTGTTTCAAAGAGAACAACTTCATCCGATTCTGGAATCGGACATATCGTTAGGGGTGGCAGATTGCAAGTAGTGAGCAGCACTTACGTAAAATTGTCGCTAGTTTGGCTTCCAGTCTTTTGATCGGAGCGCAACAGAGTTCACAATATTTATATCTGATTTTGGTGTTCTTTTACAAAGTCGGCTTGTGAAGGCTCTGGTCTTGACTTATCGTTCCTTCCGAAGTTTGCGGCACATGTGTTGAACCAATGAACAACATTCTAGCACTCGCTAGACTTCGCCGCTGTAAGCGGCATGACGTGGAAGTTACGCAAGGATTTAAAGCTTGCCCCATTAGCCGTGTATTAACATTGAGAAGTCTTTTTTTTTTCAAAATATGTCTCTGCTTTATTTAACGATTGAATCATCATTTGTCTTGTAAGCGTATTTCTATGAAAGCTCTCTTTAGTACCCATTCTGAAAGAACTATTACCACAAACTTATGCTTTTTTAACGAAGTTGAGCGCGGACGAAGAAATTTTTTAGATGCGGAGCATCTTATACTCGCGCCTTGTAGTGCGCCGTCCGCACCGCTTCTCGAACATTCGACAGCTGACGCGCGCGCATGCGCCGTCGCGCCGTCGCCCACTCTTCCACCATCTGTGCATCCCTTCCTCCTCTACACACCGCGCGCGCTTCACTCCTCCACCATCTGTGCACCCTTCCTCCTCTACACACCGCGTTCGACATCTACAATTCTCCTGATTCTCCAGTGGACGCGCATGTGGCGTCGCGCTTCGAGAACATTCAACAGCTGACAGTGCATGCGCCGTCGTGCTGTATATATACTCAAGGTCGGCGCTCGCTCGCTCAGTTGCCGCTCGTCGGTTGGTTTGTACGGCGCGTCGACGTCCAAGGTCGCGGTGAAATGAATTCCAACGAATCCACAAACACAATGATCGACGTTCCTTCGACCAGCGCCGCCCTTTCGCATACGTGTGTACGTGTTCACTCATTTAACACCCCCTCCTACAACCACGCTAACCAATTTAGCCATCGACCCAAGTAAGTCGCAATTTAACACCCCATTTCACAACCACGTTAACCAATTTAGCCATCGACCCAAGTAAGTCGCACTTTAACACCCCGTTAACCAATTATATGGTCCGCATCCTCCTCAGTGTTCCCCCGAGGGAAGCTGCGGGCAATTTTTTTTTTTTGTGTGTGTGTGAAGGTCAGGTCAGTCAGGGCCTTCTGCATTTTTAAGCTCCAATTAATTGATGCTTCGAAATGGGGCTTCGCGTTTACATCATATTTACAATAAATCTAAAGATGACCATGACATTATCTCCGCGCAGTAGTAAGCGAAGTTAACGTTGTGAAGGTTTTTTTTTGCGCTTGTTACTTTAATTTGATGGTATTGCCTACTTTCACGTGCTACAGTTATTCTTGTATGCGCCTATTAGTGGAAAAATCCTGACATCACTCGCACTCACAAAAAAAGTTTCAAAAAAAAGGGGGGTGGGGCGTCAGGCCTGGATTCATTGATTGATTTGTCGGGTTTAACGTCCCAAAACCACCATTTGATTATGAGAGACGCCGTAGTGGAGGGCTCCGGAAATTTTGACCACCTGGGGTTCTTTAACGTGCACCCAAATCTGAGTACACGGGCCTCTAACATTTCCGCCTCCATCGGGAATGCAGCCGCCGCAGCCGGGAATCGAACCCGCGACCTGCGGGTGTCAGGCCTGGACGGAACACACACCACAGTCGCTGTGAAAGCTGGAAAAACGAAATTTCGAGAGCCCGCTCCAAACCTTTTTGGGACAACTAATGTATGCATACACGGAAGTATACGTTGCCCCGCCACGATGGTCTAGTGGCTAAGGTACTCGGCTGCTGACCCGCAGGTCGCGGGCTCGAATCCCGGCTGCGGCGGCTCCATTTCTGATGGAGGCGGAAATTTTGTAGGCCCGTGTGCTCAGATTTGGGCGCACTTTAAAGAACTCCAGGTGGTCCAAATTTCCGGAGCCCTTCACTACAGCGTCTATCATAATAATATGGTTGTTTTGGGACGTTGAACCCCACATATCCATAATCAATCAATCAACGTAAGCATATGCGCATGCACTTATACGCATGCACAGTCGGCGTCAAAAGCGACAGTTTAGACACCGTCGGGTAAAACGTTGAAGTCCGTGCAATATGCGGCTGCGTTTCGTCGAACTGCGCAATCGCGTATTGTCAGCGCGTTTTATAAGTGGTAAATCTCATTTCAAGGCTCCCCATCGAAAGAGGGGGAACATTCAGCTTTTTTTTTTCTCTAGTCTTGATCGTCTCTCAATTTCTGACGCTGACAGTATCTTGTGCTCACCCTCTGCACCTTCTTATTTTTTCCTCTATATTGTCCGTCTCCTTCACTTCGTTGGACTTTATCATAGTAGAAAACAGACATCTAACGCTCATTCAGCTTGTTTGTAAGTACGCATTGCTACGATAAGCTTTTGATAAGTAATATTATGTGCTAACAAAAAAGAACTACGAAATAGCTTCTGGCGCATTATTAAGGAACAAGCAACAGCCGATGCGTGGCTCCTTGTAAAGACGAGTCTCTTTATCTTCTTACTTTTTTCTCTCTCTTCTACGTGCTTCAATACACTGTTTCTCAGCCATCTGTTCCTATATTGCAAGGAAGCCGAATAAGTTCGGCCGTTGAAAACGGCTGCGCTTCTCGCTGAGGCGCTGTTTATTGAAACCCCGAAGCTCGTAAGAATCGCGAGCTGGCGCGTCTTTGCCGAACTGTCTTGTGCCGAGATGGGGCGTTCGCCAAATATGTAAATTCATGCAACAGAGCACGCCTAGTCGGGTGTTTATAAGGGGTTTAGAGTGACATCGCGGAATGCATATTTACGAAATAATCCCGTACGTGGTGGCCCTTTATTTGCTGTTGAAAGTCGGAAATATTGTTCTATAATATCGGCCAATTATTCTGTGTCCAAAATATCAGTCGTGCACGCCCTTAGTCTATAATAAAGCAAAAGGCGCTCGTCGCAACTCGCTTCGTTTTAAGAGTGCTCCAGCACGTTCTGAGATTTATTTACATACTCCATCACTTTTGGCTCTGCGTCATACAGCCTGGATAGAATGCGCTTTTTCGTTTAGGCGATCAATCACCGCCTTCAAGATTGATGCATGCCTGCTTCTCGCATATGCACCAGCACCTCAACTACAAAATAATAATAATAATATTAATAAATGTCGAAGTTGCTCACTGACGATTATAATCATTGTCGATGCGAATACTGTAGCGGTGACCTCTCATATAAGCACGTTCAGTGATACAGAACACTGCGTTTGCTTTGTGAGAACGAGCTAACCACCTAAATGCAATGTCATTCATACACGAATGCCATTCGCGAGAAACTCATTAGCCAGGAAACAGCGCCAAAGACCTGAAACCGCTTGCTGTTACGCGGCACATTCTTCAAGGCGTTCCCTTCCTTAAATGTATTCTTACTTTTAAATGCGAAACATTTCTTAGCGAACTTCACCGACGTTTAGCGTATCTATCTATCTATCTATCTATCTATCTATCTATCTATCTATCTATCTATCTATCTATCTATCTATCTATCTATCTATCTATCTATCACTCCGCCAATGACTTTTAGCTCTCCTGGCCGTTTCTATAATGGTATCGATACCAAACTTGGTATGGCATAACATGACTGTATGACGAACATATTTGACTAGTCATAACATCAAAATGATGACATGTATGTCATGAATGTCATGATTTACAGTTCGTGGTCCTGCAGCTCTTGCGGTGGTTTCGTTCGCATGGCATGTTGCAAAACTGGTGTGGTATGGCATGATTGCATGGCGAACACAAGCGACAGACCTTAACATGAAAATCATGACATGCGTGTCATGTAACAACATGACTACCTGCCACGCTCATGATGCGCTCGCGGCCATTTCGCTAGCGTCACATATACCAAATTTGGTATTACAGTATACGCAAATGGATGACGAAGGTATGTGAATGGTGCAAACATGATAATCATGAAATGCGTATCATGTGTGAACATTACTACATGCCACCGTCAAGGCGCCAATATATTTCGTCGTGACACGGTGCGCGTGCTCGCCGGCGTTCATTTCGTCGCGTCTCGCCAGCGTTGCCACGCCAGGCCCCGGTCCTGCCATATCCTCGCAGGCGCGCGCCGTGCTGCGTTGCTTTGACGCATGCGCTTTTCAGCGCGTCCGGCGTCCCTCCGTCGCGAAAAGAGGGAGTCGCAGTGTTGTCTGGGTAATTCACCGGCTCGAAATGCAGCATGTCGCATTTCGCGCCGGTTGCCGTCGGGCCGCGCCGACGGACGCTGGTCGTGCCGGTCGCGCCTGGCGTGCTCGCGATTGTCTAACCTATAGCGTCGCTGTGCCAAGTGTGTGCGCGCGTCAATGCTACAACGGAGTATATTGTGCCCTTCATGATGCACTCGCGGCTGTTTTGCTAGCTCCACTATACCAACTTTGGTGTTACGTGGTGTCAATGGATGACGAAAGTATATGACTGGTGCAAACATGATAACCTTGACACGCGTGTCGTGAAGAACGTGACATTATACCACGCTCATAGCGTGCTCGCGGCCGTTTCGCTTGCTTCACATATACTAAATTCGGTATCACGTGACGGTTATAGATGACGAAGGTAAACGACACAT